AATTCTCTGTAATTTGTATAGTTTCAAGAATTCTAATAAAGTACTAGTGTGACTGCTTAAGTTAAAAAAAAAAAAAATAAAAAATAAAAAATAGAACTTCAAGAAGATTTATGAGTTCTAAGATTAATTTTTTTTAAAAAAAGTAGATTGCAATTATCAACTATATGTAATTGTTTAAAAAAAAATTTTTGTTGTTTTTAAGACTTAATATTATTAAATTATCTGAAAATAGAATAAAGTTGTAAATATTGTTTAGTTAATTAGTTTGTTTATAAGTTGTTAATTATTGGAGTAGTAAGTTGTTAAGAGAAATATTATTTTTGTATAAATAAAATAGTTGTAATATTATAGTAAAATTAGAGGTTTTTCTATAATTTTTAAGTATTGTATCTTGGATTAATGATAGGTTTCATATTTTGAATAGCTATTTTTTGGTTTGATTTATTAAAATTTAATTAAAAAGTATATTGTTATTGCACTTTTAATTTTTATTTTATATAAATATAAAGTAGATATGGGTATTATAGTGCAGTTAACTTTGATCATAATAAAACTTTAAATAAATTATATTAAAAATTATAAAATTTTTTTGAAATAAGATAATATGACTTTTAAAATAATAATTTTATTTAAAATTAAAAATATTTTCAATATAAAAAAAAATTTTTACTAAGATCGAATTAAATCTTTTCAAAATTTATAATTTTAGATGATTTACCAAAAATGGTGCATATGTATAAAACAGGAGGAACCATTAATATTATACATTAATTCTTCACATGATGTAGTCAATCAATAATAAAATTATTTATTTTGTGTTTACTCTAAAATCTATGTTATGAATATAATCTCTCACTCCATTGTTCACATGGAGTGATCAGTTAAACTGAAATTATTTATATTTAACTTCAAGTGTAATGGATATAATCCCTCACTTGGTGCAACATTAACAGATCCTCCTGTTTACATATAACAATCATCTAATTTTTTCTTTTCACTTCTCTAATACGTTGTCTTTCTGCTTTAGTACGTTCTAATTCTTTCTTCTTTTGTGCCCTAGCAATTTATTTTTGCACGTCAGCCTCTTTTTTTTGTTTGATCTCATTGGCTTTTCTCTCAGCTTCCTCCTCCGCATCTTTTAATAACCTCAGAGACATTTCAATTGTAAGAAGTTGGGAAAATGGCATAGGTTTCCTTTTTTTTCTTTTTTGTAAACTTGCTTCTGGCTGGTTCACAGCTTAATCTGAATTTTCAACTGACTGTAGAGTATAAGAAAGAGAGTACTTAAGTGCTAAACATAAAGAGCAAATGCTGAGGCTTTTAAAAGTTTCTAATTCATCTTTTGTCACTTTCAACTTTGCTTCCAACTGCTAACCCTAATATTAAGTGTTTTAATCTCAGTTTTTAATGATCTTTTTTATTAGAGATAAGTGTAGAATTTGGATCTAGGTTAAAAGAAGCTTGTGAAGGTGAAGTAGAAGGTTGTAAAGATGAAGTTGTATAGAAGGTTGTAAAGAAGGTTGCATTGATGAAGTATCGAACTGTTTTGTTGCCAGAGAAGGATCAAGATGGTTAGGACTAATTGCATTTGGGTTAAATGGCCAGATTCCAGTTGCTTTGAAGGAATTGCAAATAGCCATAGGTAGATAAGTTTTAATATAAGCTAAACCAAGAACCTTAGCAAATGTATGTTTAGTAACTAATTCACTATTATTATTCAAGTGAAGCTGTTTACAACCTTACCATAAGCTTGTTTGAGATAAGTGAAAGAAAGTTCTGCAGGTTGAAGTATATGGGTTGTGTGAGGCAAAAGTGCATAGAGAAAAATGTTGTTATTGTAGCAAAGGCTAACACAAGCATAACTAACATGGCTTTTATGACTGTCAAGAATTAATAAAACAGAGCGATTAGGTGGAATTGAATGAATGAAATGTTTGATATATTTTTGAAAAAGGCATTTTTTCATATAGCCAATATCTGTGAATCCCATAACAGAACCCACAGGTGCACTATTCAAGAGGCCAGGAATCATGCACTTTTCTTTGTAGATGATTAATAGTGATATATACATTCTGGCTGCTGAGATTGTTGGATACACAGAAATGTGTTCTTGAGAATTTCCATATGAAACCTGATGAACTTGATGGGCACCCATCTTTGTGATTATTTTTTGAAGAGTTGGATTAATGATGAAGCCTGTCTCGTTCTAATATAAAAAGATAATTAAAAAAAATAAAAAATAAAAAAAAAAAAAAAAAAAAAAAAGAAGGAAAAAAAAAGTAGAAAAGAGACTATATTCCAAATCTGATCTGGTGTAAGTGAATGATTTTCAATTATTGCTTGAAGCTTCTGGAAGTGATTCTTGACAATAATAGGGTTGGCTCTTTGTACTCATGCTTTGTTCAAAGCTTGTGGGATATGAAATGAAAGCTCTAGGTGGTTTTTCATGAATTGTTCCCACCATGATTGACCTGGTCCACTTTCTTTAAAGGGGTGGGATCTGTTACTTTGATGAACAATATCCATTACATATTGGTTCACCCCTAACCTTGCCAATCCGAACCCAAGCCTCTGCATATTTAGACAATAACCAACAAGTTGTTGCTCTTTATGATCAGTTAAAACTTTGGCTGAGCCTAAATGATCAAGAGGGCCACTATTTTTAATGGTACATTTGAAAGTGGTTTCTGGGATACCATATTTTTTTGCAAGACTTCTATGACTTGGTGACTTAGGATTGGTTTAAGAGTCATTAAGTTCTTTAAAGGCACTTGAAATTGCATTTTGTTTTACTAATCAGTTACTATATGATGATATTTTTTTTTTTAATAAGCTTACAGGTTTATAGAATATACAATGTCTATTTATAAGATTTAGACTATTGTTATCTTTATTAATTAAGGA